CTTTGAACTTTTTTAATGAAATCTTTAATTGTTTCTTTTCATATGAAGAGTTGTCAATTTTCAAAAAAGATATAAAAAAACCATAATCAAATTAAAAGGTTTCTGTCTTAATTAAAGGATCAATTCTAATCAGTTGATCTTTTTCCAAACAACAGAATTACACTTTAATCCTGAACCAAAACCAATTTGCCAAACTTTATCTCCTTTTTGTAAGGTATGAATTCTTTCAATAAATTTAAATTCATACCAAACAGATGAAGAAGAAGTATTTCCAAATCGGTATAAAGCAGCTCTTGAAGGCATACAATCTTCATCAGTAAGATTTAAGTTTTCTTGAAGTCCATCAATAATAGCTCTTCCACCAGCATGGATACAAAATCCTTGGAAAGTCTCTCTGAAATTAGGTTTAAAGATATCTTCTTTCTTTTTCATATTTAGTTTATGTTGAACCATATCAATAAGATATAAAAAGACATCTTTCCAACTCATTACCACTGGCATTAATTGATTTAAATTTTGGACTAATGCTCTTGTAACACATTTTAATAAATCTCTTCCAATTTTTACTCCTACTATTCCGTCATCATCTTCAGATTGGAAAATACAATTATAAGAGTCATCATATTTTTGATGGTTAATTCTAACAGTAGTAACTAATTTATATGGTGCAATAGATGAATACTTTGACTTATTAGACAATAAAATAGCAGCTCCACCCATTCTAAATAAAGTATCAGATAACAATCTTCCTTTTTCTTGTCCAGGATACCATCCTCTAGTAATACATTCAGTGGAATAAACTAAAATATTAATATTTTTATTACGTCTTAGTAAGTCTCTTGCTAAGTCAATAGAAATTAATCCTGCTGAACACCCCATTCCACCTAATGAATAATTTTTACATGTTTCTTTCATTTTATAAATATTCATAATCATTGCAGATAATGATGGAGTTGGAGCAAACATAGAACAATTAGTAATTACAAAGTCAATATCTTTTTGGGGGTCAATCTTTAATTTCTTAAATAACTCGTCACAAGCAATTTTAATACTTATCTCCATCTCATATCTTGAAGATTTATATGTATCATCAGGTGGAACTGTATGGAATGCTGGTGGTAAATAAGTATGGTCACCTAACCCTGTTCTATGAATTAAACGTGCTAGAAAATCTAATGAAGTTGGATTAAAACGTTTAATATCTTCAGTAAATTTTTGAAATTGGTCATTTGTTGTTGCAAGTTCTTCTGGTGGTTTAGCAGTACAAAATCCAACTAGATAGACTGATGGTTCTTTTTTTGCAATGAAATAAACCATTATAATAAAAAGAATTGAAAATATAGAAGCAGAGATACATAAGGCTTTTGCATTTTGTTGAGAGAAAATAGGGAAAGAAAGGTCGTACAATCCATATAATTGTTTAGAACCAACAAAAACAATTGAAGCAACAAATATCACTCCTAAGAGTTTTACAATGAAGTCAATAATTTTTGTATTAATATTAGGTCTTTTTACATTAGCCTTTAAATAAGGTAATATTTCATTTTCTTCATTATCAAACATTGGATACCAATAAGGTTTTAATGAACGCTCAGCCTTATCAGAAGTACTCATTTCAAATGAATTATGAGATGAAATTACTCTGCTAGTTTAAATATTAAAGAAAGTCAATTTGGTTCTTCCATCTTTATTTTTTCTGGTGAAAAGTTTTCAGGGTTTCAATGAGAGAAAGAATCGATGATGGAATAACAATTTTTGTTAATAGTGAATTTTAATATTGAATAGCTCATTTCTTTTTCAGTTTAAATAATAAAAACAGATATCAGTATTGTTTTAAAGGATGATACATTCATGTCTCAAAGCAATTAATTTTTATACTTTTAAGTGTTATTAATAATGAGTTATTTTATACAAACCGTTTTAAAAAGAGATATTATTCTGTGAATTATGAATATAAAAATAGATTTGCTTTTTCAAACCAAAAAAATTCATTAATTCTACTTATCATAATATCCAATTTCAATCTTATTGAGATTTTTATAAAGACTTTTCTTTTCTTTTTTTTTTGGGGTAATTAGTTTTGATTTATTTTAAATTTAGAAAAATTTGTGATAATTTTGAAGGTTATATTTATTCATTTAATAAACCATTATTTTTTAAAATGTAGTTTCTTTGATACAATTCCATCTTTCTTCCTATTTTCTAAATCTTTTGGTTTTTCTTTCTTTGGTTTTTTTTCTAGTTTTTCTTTTTCATTTAGTTTTGAAAAATCTTTCATTTCATTAGATGAAGGGAGTGTTTGAATAACACTTTTCTTTAAATTGTTTTCTTTTTCTTTATTTAAAAATGAATTTGAAAATGAAGTAGAGTATAATACCTTTTGGTCTTCTTTTTCCGTGTGTTGTTTATTAATTAGTCTTTCTTGTTCTTTATCAATATATTTTTGAAACCAAGATTGATGACATTTAGTTGTTCCTCCTAGATAATGAGACTCATTTTGATTTCCTCTTAATGTGTCCCAGTCAAAGTCTTTTGTATGTCGTGCAGACATAAATTACTTTGATTGAATATTTTAAGTTCTTCTCTTATCAAGAAGATTTTATTTTTTGTTTTATATTGCAAAAAAATATATATATGAATTATTATCAAAAATAAAAAGAAAAAAGTATTAAAAAAAAAACGAAAAATAAGAGTTTTAATTAAATTTAGACATTGAGAAAAAAGAAATGACAAATTAAGAAAATAGCAAAAAAACGATGGAATAAAAAAAAGAAATGGTTTATTTAGGTGAACTTTAAAATAAGAAATTAAATCACAAATGAACTTAGAAGACTTTGAAGTAATAGATAAAGACGGAAATTTTACCGAAGTAGATTTTAAGATTGAACATCCTGTTAAAGAAAATGAAGAGCCACTTGACCAAAGAAGAAGAATTATAAATGAGATATATGATACTGAAGAATCATATGTACAAGGATTAAAATTATGTATTAAATATTACTATGAACCATTAAATGAAAATAAAGGTATAATTCCAAAAAATAAATTGGATGTTATTTTCCTTCATTTTCCAGATGTTCAATCTATGAACTCTTCATTTTTTGAACAATTAAAAGAGCAAAAAGAAAAAGGAAAATTATATGATTGTATTGGTTCAATATTTGTTGAATTTGCTCATTTTTTTAAAGTTTATAAATTAATTGTTGGAAATTCTGAAGCTGTATTAGCAGTTTTAAAAGATGTATGTAGTTCTCCTCATGTAAGTAGATATTTAGAACAACAAAGACTTCGTATTAATGCTAAAGTTCAATTAGACCTTCGTTCATATTTAATTACACCAGTACAAAGATTACCTCGATATAATCTTTTATTAAATGAATTATTAAAGCATACACCAACAGATCATCCTGATTATAACAATATAGTTAGTGCATTAGCTTTTTTAAAAGAATGTACTCAATATGCTAATGACAGTGTTAGAGAAAGAGAAAGAAGAGATAAATTAATAACAATTGCTAAAACATGTGAAGGTGCAACAGCAGAATCAATTGTAAAACCTGGAAGATCATTTGTTAAATCGGGAGAAGTATTAGAAATAGGAAAGAAAATTAATAAGCCAAGATTTATTTATTTATTTAATGATATGTTAATGTATGGTATTGGAGATGAAAGAAAATTAAGTGTTATTGGAATGTATAATATTGAAAGTATTATGATTAAAGATATTAAAGATTCTCCTAATTCTCTTCATTGTTTTAGAATTCTTAGTTTAAGTTCATCTGAAGTTGATATTACTTTTCAATGCGAAACTGAAGAAGAAAAAAAAGCATGGTTTGATAATATAAGTAATGCAGCTCAAGATGAAAGAAGCAGATTATTAACATTAAGAAATGAGATTACAGTTAATTCAACTACTGTATGGATTCCTGATGAAGAGGCAAATGAATGTATGAGATGTGGAACTCCATTTACTTTGTTTTTCCGTAAACATCATTGTAGGAATTGTGGATATATTATTTGTGCCAATTGTAGAACTCGTTGTAAAGTACCAAAATTAGGAAGGGTAGATTATGTATGTCTTAAGTGTTATGATGAACTTCAAGTAGAAACTAAAAGAAGAAACTCTCTCACCACAAGTGAACCTCAACAAATTGTTAAAGATACTACTTCTTCTCCTGTTTTACCAGAACAATCAAAACAGTTTAATAATCCTATTCATTCAGTTAATAATACTCTCAGTCAAGAACAAACTCCTTCTACTATAAAATCATCTACGAGTGATACACAAATAAATAAACAAGCCTCTCATTTATCATCTTTACCAACACGTCCTTCTCATCAAAAAACAGAAAGTTGTCAAGTCCAATTTAATTTACCTTCTAAACAATTTGATTTATCTTCTCAATCATTAAAAAAAATTCAACCAACACAACTATCTTCACCAGAGCCTCCTCCTCATTCTTCTACAACGAGACAAAAACCTTTAAGACAAGAAACTTCTATAACAACACATGAATCATTTGACAATTCAACTGATAAAAAAGAAATTCAACCAATTAAAAAAGAAAACAATAACATTACTATTCCTCAACAACCAATTAAAAGGGCTCAACCTTCTCTTCCTCAAAGACAACCATCAAACTCTAATATTCCAAGAACAAAACCATTACCTCCTTCTCGTGGAAATACAACCAATCCTTCTTCAACAATAACAAATTCAAAACCTTTGGTCCCAAGTAGAGCTGCCCCAAAAGTTAATACACAAACAACAACACCAAATGTTGATGGAACACAACACGAAAATAACTCATTTAAAGAAAGGCTTGCTATGTTCCAACAACAAAGTTCTCAAACAGAAAAACCAGCATTACCAATTAGACGTAAAGTAAATCCACCAATTAATTAATTTAATAAATTTTACATAAAAGTTTTTGTTTACATTTTTTTAATTAAACAAAACAAATTGAATTTGTATAAAAGAAGACATTTTGAAAACTATTTTAATATTTTCGCATTAATATTAAAAATAAGTTTTTAAAAATACTTATTTTTTTTAAAGAATTAAAATTTAATACTTACTCAAAATAAGTGGTTGTAGATTAATTGGTTATCAAATCTTGCTATTATAATGATTTTATTATTATTAAATAAAAAATATAATATTTCTAGTTATATAATAAGAAAATTAGTTCATATTTCTGTTGTTTTTGTTATTTTTTTTATATTATTTCATGACGATATTTTTGGGGGAGTTTCTTGTGGTACATTATTTGTTTTTATCTTTGGACGTAGTAAAATCAAACAAATTTAAATGACCTTTTTAACTACTTCTGTTTGACATTCAATAATGTATTTGAATGAAAAAAGGATCAATAATTTATTGTATTTTAATAACAACATTTATTTTGTTTTTTTTTTTGAAAGTCATATCAATTGACACTTGTTGAATTAATGGTATCAATAAAGAATACAAATTTTGATGAAATTAATGGAAGAAAACATGGAATAAAACTAATAACAAGTTTATAGAGAGAATCTAAATTTCTTAAAAATTGTCTAACAGTTATTTTTAGAGGAATGATTGGAAGTATTATTACATGTAGCAAAGCTTTTAATAGTTATTATATTTTAATTATTATTTATTGGAAGAATATTAAATTCTATTATAGAATTTTATTCACTACCACAAATTGATAATTTACTCCATTTCCAATATTACATACTGGATATTTCTTTAATTAAAATTAAAAATTATTCAATTTATGATTAAATTTTGTTATAATAAGATGAAACGATTGATTTACATTCCCATTGATTGATCACCTTGATATGCACCTGAAATATAACTTCCACCAAAGTTTTCTTGATATATGTCTTGGGTGAATTGTTGTTGAGGAACTTGTTGTATTGGAGTAGTTTCAGGTTGAACAGTATTTGACACAGTAAGATGTTTTTGAATAAGTTCATTAAAACGAGCTATTTGACCTATACATTAAATATAAATAGATTAAAAACTAAAAATAAATCAAACCTTTTATTGTTAGACGGATTTCATAAGCTTTAAAATAATTTGGGTTTTGTTCTTTTAATTTAGTTAATATATAAATTGTCATTTCAGTTGGAATACTTTTCTTTTCTAATTCTCTAATAATTTCATCATCTGTATAATAAAATTGTAAATATTGTTCAATCAATCCTTGTAATGTAGGTATATCAATAAAATTATTTTGTGGTTGTTGTACTTGTGGTTGAATATATTCTGATTGATATCCTACTCTTGGCTGATACATTGGTTGTCCTTGATATTGAACAGGGACTTGTTGATTAGGGAATGTTTGATATTGAGGTTGTTGATATCTTTGTTGTTGATGACTTCTATCGATTGGTTGTTGGGGAGTACTAATAGAGTTAGAAATAACAGATCCATTAGTATTAGGATTCATTCTACTCACTTATCAATTTTTTAGTTTCTTTTTTCTATTCTTTTTTCTTTTTATTGTTGTTATTTTGTTAACTTTTTTGTATTATTTCTAATTTTTTACCATTCTTCTTTAGTTCTTCTTCGTTCTTGAAATAGTTTTTATTTTTTCTCTTTTCTTTCTTAATTCTCTTTTCAAACGTAATACTTTTATTTATTCTTCTTTTTTCGTTTTCATACTACTAAAATTAACTTGTAATATAAAACAATTTTTATTATAAAATCTCTTTTCTTTTTTTATTTCTTTTATTGTTATTTTCTCATTAGATAGATTCGGACAAATCAAGAAAATCATCACTTGAGCAATTGTCCACATTTTTAATTTCTTCAAATTGTATAAGAAATGAAACTGGGTCATTATCTTTACTAATACATCTTTCTCCATTGATCTGAATGAAATTATTAATAGCAATAATACCATAGATAGCACTTAATTGTTTTTGGTTGAGAATAATTATTGTCCCTAGTGGAAGTGACTCATCACTACTATGAATTTTGATTCCTCTCTGTAATTGACTATATAAAATATTATTTAATCCACTTGGATTACAAATAATTCTTAATTTTTTATTTTCTTCGTTTTGGTTAATTTCCATTACATTTTGATATACAACAACATACTCTGGTTCTATAACATATTTGCATAGTGCTTCTTTGATTTCTTGTTCTCTTTCATTACATACAACAATTAGGCATTTATTATATTTAATAGTATTAATAACTTCTTCTTTAAATTTTTGTACTTCATCTTCATTAATGTTCCATTTAATTATGTCATCACTTTTCTTAACTCTTTTTCTTTTTTCAGTTACTTCTTCATCATTAATTACTTTTTTAGGTTTTATTGTTTTCGTTTTCTTTGTCTCTTTCTTTGTCTCTTTCTTTTTCCTTTTCTTTTCACAAACAATCTTTTCTTCTTCAACCTTTCTTAGTTCTTCAATAACTTCTTGTTCTATTAACTTTATTCTCTCTTTTCGTTCCCTTTCTTTCACTAATAATGGATTCTCCACTTCAGATAATAAACTCTTTCGTTTAATTGGACTGATTACTGATTTATGTTCAATACCACTATTTATTACACTGAATTGAGTCTCTTCTGTCTTTTGTTCAACTTCACTTAAAATGATATTATCATCTATTTTTCCTTCTTCTTCAATTATTGTAGGTGATAAATTTTCTTCATGAGTTTCTGTTATTAATTCACTTTGAACATCTTTTGTTTGTGTAAATTCATTAGCCTTTATTTCTGTAATGCTTTGTTCAGTAACAAACTTTTCCTTATCTATTTCCTTTTCTTCAACTTGAGTAATTTTTTCTTCTTTCTTTAAAGATTTCTTAGACTTTACTTTGTTTTGTTTTTCTTTGATTGTTTGTTCAATTTGCACCAACTTAGATTGTTTAAGAGTTCTATCAATCTCATATCTAATATTATTTTCAATCACAAATTGGATATACTTTTTTGCCATTTGAGTAAAGGAGATTTTCTTGTTTTCTGTAAGGTCTATGATTTCAAGTATTTGATTATCTATTTGAACATATTTCCTTATAGACAAACTATAAGCCTTCTTCATTGTGAAAATAGTTTGAAATCCAAAATATTTATCTTGAAATTCAATCATCCAAAACCATTCAGTAAATGGATATCCTTTAAATTGTGTTATATAATATTCTTTTAATCCATTAATTCCAGTTTCAATATTATTTCCTAATAACTTTATTTCTCCTTCTATTCTGAATGCATAAAAAGAACGTTTCATGATAGGAAAGTATGATTTTAAGTTATTTTGCATTTTGTACTTTGAATAGTAAATAAAGTTCTTACTTCGAACTAAAAATTTTTTAATTTCAATACAATAAATCAATTATGCTTGGTATTTATGTTCATTCAAGAAGTTTTGAACATCTCCTGTTACTGAACGAATGAGATAATCTGCATAAAAATAAATCCCAACAACAATTGTATTTAGTCCAAATAACCATAGCCCAGCTAACACTGTAGTAAATAACATCAATGATACAGTCAATCCAGCACAAATCCATAACATTGATTTATATGAAATATATTCCAAAATGAAATAAAATTTAGGAAATATACAAATGCACCATAAGAATAATAATGATGAAATAAACTCTAAAAGAAATACAATATATCCATTTTTAATAGAAGATAAAACGTAATGTATATCATTTGAACAAAACTCTTCTCCACCAAATCCATTAACAAACAAGGTTCTTAAGGAAATGATAAATTTAAGTATAAACAATATCAACGCAAACACTAGAGCTACTCTTCTGAAAATGTTTGACGTTTTTTGATCTTTTTCTTCTATTTTCTCAATCTCCTGAATTTCCCCTAATTATTAGAAATTTCATTAACTTCATCTCAATCAATTAAAACAAACGATAATTATTTTCCATAATTTGTCGTTGACGTAATTCTTTGGATGACATTAAAAAAAGTAGTTTTTAGTTCAACTTTTCTTAAGAAAGAAACTCCAGAAAAACAGTTAAAAAGAATTAGATTTGTTTA